GGCGAGCCCTGCCAATGCATCATGTGTTTTCCCATTGGATTCATATGATGCAGTGTTGGACATCTTGGACAACAAAATTGCTGGATGATGAGGATCACACTTCTACTGACAATGAGAGCAACATTCCCAATTAATAATTCCTCCTCCTCCTCAACAGACAGAGCAGTCATACTCCTCATACCTACACCTGCTGATGACCTCAAACAGTTCCAAAAACCATTCAGTAGAGTGGCTTCTACCCAAGACACAACACTATTGGAAATGCAAGAGAAACAATGTAAGTTACTGGAAATCCTGCAACTACCAAAATCACCTACCCTATTGACAGAGATCGTGGAATCCATGGAAACCATTTACCAAACACCTGCCTCCACTATCCCCACCAACAAACATGCAGACAGAAAATACTTTGTCCTGGCCAAAGGCATGGATTTCTTATTTTACTATCTATAACTGAATTTGCTTGTTGTTGTTGCCATCCACCATCAAGTGAAACAAACCACAGGTTAGATCCACACTGAAGGTCAAGGAACATAAATATCTAAATCTCTTTGGAAGGAAAATACATTCATCCGCCACCCTCCAGTTCTATGTCACTAATTATTTGACACTCCTGACCAACTACAAACTATCCCTGTCATGCCAAACTACAGGAGCTCCTTCATGACTTGCCAGAACACAAACACCCTCAATTGCAATCTGTCATTAAAGAGGGCCGAAGATAGCCCAAACATCCCTACATGCGACTATGGATGTCACTAATGCAGGGACCTGAACTACCACCCTGGCTGTTGTGTTGCTCAGGGCCTCCTAATTACAAGCCTCAAAATCCGTAAGGAGCTTCAGCTAAAGGTCAAAAGACCTTCAGTTCAACAGGTGCAGTTATTCTCCTCCAAAACTTTATCTAGTCCCCCATATCATGAAGGACTCTCATGCCATGATCTGTACCTTCAGCATCTACACCTCACCCAAAAAGAGAGAGCATTATACATCATGCCAGAGGCCTTGTGACGCTTCCTTCTGCTGCCAAAATCAATCGCAATTTGGTCATAAATCAAAACAGTGCTCCTAGAGATGCTGGGC